GTTATCTGCTACGTAGATGATGATATTCGCGGCCTTGAATATTCCTTCTATCCAGCGCTTGCGTGGTCGACTCTAGTTCTGCTTCCGTTGTGTCTAAGTGACAGAGCTCTCTGTGGTGCTTTATCTTGTGGTAGTCTTGGCACATATCCCAACTTTTAGATCTGTTGTCTTTTGATGTAGTTTAATACTGGTCGGTCCAAACTTGTTTCCTGATATCGTTTTTTTTTTTCTCTCTGATCCTGTCTTTTTTAGTTACATTCAGAATTCTTTGCTGACATTTAATTTTTATTGTTTCTATATTTTCTGTTTCCTGATTTTGTTAATGTCTACTTTTACCACTGGTAACACAGTCGATAAAAACTATTGTATTGTATTGTGCTCTATTCGTGTCAATTCTTACATGCTTTTTGCAAAAGTGGTGACATTTTAACAAATATAATATCCCTAAAGAAAACTACAGTTCCTTCTATGTATGCAATGGTGAATGAACATGAGACCAGCTTAACTAAAACGTAACGTCTATAATATAGATCTATGTCTACCCTGGACTGTATCAAGTCTCACTCAGTGCAGACATACTCAGTTGTTGCCATGGTTTCTCTAAGTTGTCATTTGCAAAGCAAATCCACAAATATTTTTCCCTCAAACATCAGCCCCACCATCCTTCTTTCATTTGTCTTCCCTTTTTCCTTCCTAAATGTTTGTTTAGCTTCTTTTAACCCCCAAACCCCCCCCCCCCTTTTTTTTTCTGTATATGTAATCTGAAGGATTAAAATCTTAAGGATGAGAATCAAACAGGTACGCATCTAGCTCTCTCCGGGAAAACAAAAAGAATACAATTAGGCCGGTTGTTAAGGTTAACGATCACTGACCGTTATAGACTACGAGAGATGAATAGGTGGAATATCCGAGCCCTTGAATACCAGCATCAAGTAGAACATGCCAAGGGTTGCACACAAAGGCCTTTCCAGGAAAAACAAAGTCTATAGAACAAAAAAATACAATTAAGGGATAATGTCTGTCTATCTGCCCTTTTCCTCCCGAAATTTTTGTCTTTTTAAATTTTTTTTTAGTTCTTCTTCAAATATGTATTGTTTTTAACACACATATTTCATGTAGCTCTTTGTTTAACAAGGTTATCAAATCAAATGCATCTTTCTGATTCTTCCTTAAAAAAAACCCGTCTTCGTTCCTTGTGGTACCTTGAAGGTCGGGTGTTACGGGTCCTGATAGGAGCTTTATCTAGATGCTTTAAACGCATACCTACACCTTCTAGGCTTTTCTGGTCGTCTTGGAGTTTTGATTACTTCCTCTCGTGGGCCTCCTTCGTCAGCGTGAGGAACCTCCTCCTGTTCACAGTGTACCTATAAAGGTCAGCTATGTCCCTGACGAGCAATCCGAATGGGCCCATCAACGCTCTGACCAGCCAGGCAGGCTTGCCCTGGAGGCGGCATCGGCACAGGACAACAATAGTACCCACTGTCTGGTGCAGGACAACAATAGTACCCACTGTCTGGTGCAGGACAACAATAGTACCCACTGTCTGGTGCAGGACAACAATAGTACCCACTGTCTGGTGCAGGACAACTATAGTACCCACTGTCTGGTGCAGGACAACTATAGTACCCACTGTCTGGTGCAGGACAACTATAGTACCCACTGTCTGGTGCAGGACAACTATAGTACCCACTGTCTGGTGCAGGACAACTATAGTACCCACTGTCTGGTGCAGGACAACAATAGTACCCACTGTCTGGTGCAGGACAACAATAGTACCCACTGTCTGGTGCAGGACAACAATAGTACCCACTGTCTGGTACAGGACAACAATAGTACCCACTGTCTGGTGCAGGACAACAATAGTACCCACTGTCTGGTGAATCCTTCCTTCAAGAAAAGCGTCCAGTGACAGGTCCGGATCCATGGCGTAGGTGGCCTTTGCAGACTTCTTCTTCAGAGTGGCTATGTCTGGGTCAAAAACCTCAGTTGTTGTTATTTAACGTCGCGGCTAGACACCTTCAGAAGTGATTCCTAAAAGTATGATCTTACGGAGTATTACATCATTAATAGTCAATGATATAATTATTACAGTTTTATATTAGTAGTATATTTTACCCCACTAGGGACATCACACAAGCGATAAACACCCGATGACACAAAGTGACACCACGTGGATGAAGATCACCCGTGCAGAGGTCCCGGAAACCGCGTTCCGCCATTAGACCATATTTACGGCTGGGGTATATTGCGGCCCCTGGCAAGAGCCAGGGTAGGGCTTAAAAAAACGAAAAATTATCCCATAACGGGATGACTAAGTGAAATGTTTTATGTTTGTAAAGGTAGGAAGTTAGAAAGAAAAAAAAACTATACACTTGGAACGGACTAAACCCTCAACTAGTCTGCTTGTATAGTATGCTTGTTAAGCGACAGTACGTATATTCTCTCCCCCCTCCCCAACGATGGCTCGGAACCCACACATGAGAATCAAACTACGAATGTCACGGTAACCCCCAGCTGTACACAACCCATGTTGTGAAACATTTCATGAGTTACCTCCTTTTCCCATGATAACTTCCCTTAGCTCAGTCAAATACAGTTAAAGCTTTGTGCCTTGTTTCGTCGTCAGGTAAATTCTATCCTCCTCTTATTCTTGTTCTTTTTCTATATCTTCTTCTTATTCTTCGGGTTTACCTGTTCGTAAACTCCTTCGGAAAGTTCTGATTGTTTGTCCATTTATGGACTTCCATCTTGATGCAGGACTTCAATTTTGTGTGCACATCTGTTTGTCAGATCTGGCTTAATTATAAATAGACTGTTGGTTCCATGCCTGTTGTACTGCTCCGACTTCGAAGGTAACACTTGTTTTAACACAATAAATCACTTCTCGTCCTTTTTTAGGATGACATTTTTCGTTATTTGAAGCCCTACTCTGGCTTTTGCCAGGGGCCGCAATATAGCCTGGCCATAAATATGGCCTAAAGGCTGAATGCTGTTTCTGGGACCTTTCCACGGTGATCTTCACCCACATGGTGGCACTCTGTGTCATCGGGTGTTTATCGCTTGTGTGATGTCCTGGTGGGGTAGAAAGTCAGTTAGTCAGGTAGCATTCTTAGTAAGGACGCTGTTACGACATGCTTGTGATGGGGCAGTGGGTCTATTCTTTACCCACTTAACAGTTTGGCATGGGAACCCAGACAAGGTTATCTCGTTAAAACGTGTTAGATAAAAGTACTGCTTAAATTATATGTCAGGGAATGCTAACACGGGCATCTAACGCCTGCAGAAGTCGGGGGGTGTCGGCCGAAAGACTTCATATATCGCAGCCATGTTTTCAAACAAGCTCACAGCATGTATGTCTGTATATAAACATAGAAGAACAAGAACATGTGTTTGTGTGTCAGTACGTTTGTGTGTAGCAAATCTTCCAATGGAGGCAGGACGCTTAACAAATATGCCAGGATCTGTATCAAAAGAATTGTGCAGAACTGAAAATATTTGGCTAAATTTAAAGGTAACGTTTTGTTCTGGATAACATATTTGATACGTTTTTTTGCGCTCAGGGTCTCCAGAGAATTGTGGGGGGGGGGGGGGGGGAGGGGAGCCCGAGCAGGGTAAACTAACTTCTCCAAACAAGCTTTTCGTAATAATTGACCAGTCCAGTTTGCTGAAAATGAATTGGTTGGGTCGAAAGGCGGAGCAGCATCGCAGCCTACCTGTAAACGTGAACACAGCGTGCCAACAACCCTGTGAAATATAATGTTAAATTTATGTGCAACTTTTCATTAAGCCATCTTTGCTGGTTGCTGAAATATCTCTGTAAATGTGGTGTGCGAATCCCGCTTTTTTTTCCTATAAAATGTGACTTTTTCAATCAATATTATTGAAAATTTGTTGAATTTAGCCCCAAAATTAATTTTCCTTCAATCTCTAACTAGTGTGTATGTACGGAAAGCATCATTTTCCAGCAGATATAGTCCAATTCAGTTTGGGGGTTCAAACTGTCCTTATGGACGAACGAAGAAAAAGAAGAGGAAGAAGAAGAAGAAGAAGAAAAATAAGAAGAGGAAAAAGAAGAAGAAGAAGGAGAAGAAGAAGAAGGAGAAGAAGAAAAGAAGAAGAAGAAGAAGAAGAAGAAAAAGAAGAAGAAGAAGACAAGCAGAAGCAGCAGCAGCAGTCCCAGCAACAACAGCAGCAGTGGCAGCAACAGCAGCAGCCGCAGAAGAAGAAGAAGAAGAAGAAGAAGAAGAAGAAGAAGAAGAAGAAGAAGAAGAAGAAGAAGAAGAAGATGAAGAAGAAGAAGAAGAAGAAGAAGAAGAAGAAGAAGAAGAAGAAGAAGAAGAAGAAGAAGAAGAAGAAGACGAAGAAGAAGACGAAGAAGACGAAGAAGAAGAAGAAGAAGAAGAAGAAGAAGAAGAAGAAGAAGAAGAAGAAGAAGAGGAGAAGCAGAAGAAGAAGAAGAAGAAGAAGAAGAAGAAGAAGAAGAAGAAGAAGAAGAAGAAGAAGAAGAAGAAGAAGAAGTAGAAAAGGAAAAAGAAGAAGAAGAAGAAAAAGAGAAAAGGAGTATGAGGAGAAGGAGGAGGAAGGGGAAAAAGTAAAAGGAGTCAGGTGATGATAAAAGAAGTCGCACAGCCAGCTACCCTTTGTCACTTCTTACATCTTACTTGGTTTGCTACTGACTTAATTTTTCCTTATTATTGTATCGTCTAAGATAGAACAAAGGCAGTATGTGTATTACATAATACAATATTCGTTGTCTTCTCTTTTTTTTTTCTTTACTTTACTTCACTCCTTTACATTACCTTTATTTACATTACTTCTCTTTACTTCTTTACATTACCTTTTTTTTACTTATCTACATTACATTTTTTTTTACTTTAGTTTACTTTACTTCTGTACGTTACCTTTCCTTATTTTACTTTACTTCAACTCTTCACGTTACCTAACTTACTGCCTGGTGTCGGACCATCCCCAGGTCTCACGGTGATATCAACATCCAAGAGCAACAACCGACTTTCCACCAATAGTCCATCAAAAACAGGATCGCAGAACGGAAGCGGAGTCCGTCGGACTCAATCTCCTCCCCCTGACTACGCTTTAATCCACAGACGAAAGCCTCAAGCAGCTGATGATTCCAGTGTAACTGTTGTATCCACAAGTAATTCCACCAACCCCGCTTTCAGAAGATCATTCCCTTCAGGTCGTCGCGTGGAATCTTCCAGCACTGGCATTTCTCCATTGTCCGTGACCTCAAAAATCAAAGCAGCCGGGCAAAAGCATGCAACTGTCGCGCCATCAGAGCCAATTTTCCAGACTTCCAGTATCAAATCAGAGAGCATTCCTTCAGGGGGTTCCATTACAACGAGCAGGACTGGGGGTGTTTTGAAATACGTGGACCACGGTGTACGGCCAGCTTCGGCAATTTCTGACATGGCCAACCAGAAAAGCAGCAGTCCCAAACATGTACAGATAAGTGATATTGTGAGTGTTAACATTACAGACATTTCATCATCGTGCGTACCACCCACGATCATCAACACAAGCATGGATAAGCCAAACGGAATTCTCAAACGGGATAACAGTGTCAGAAGTGACAAGATAGTGCAACCAGAACAGAGCCTGCTGCAGACTTTCGCTGTTGGACACCAGTTGGAAACCGTCTGTGAAACCACGCCTACTACGTCGTCACCGCCTCCTTTACCGGAAGAGCCAGTAGTGAAACATCCAAAAGCAACATTAAGGGTGGACACATCTATAACCACTCCACAGTCGCGAAACACCTCATCTTCCGAGTCTCCAGAATGGCCATCGCCACCTGAACCATTAACCCCACAGACTCCTCAAACGCCCAATGCACCAGGTCAAATCTCATTCGACAGTGACACCATTCAGAAGATGCTGCGCTCTCTTCCATCCTCCCCCATGGACAGCGACTTCCCAGACGACGCAGACCTGGGATTCCACGAAGAGTACAGCGCCAGCGACGACAGCCACACCAAACATCCTCAGAATGACCAGCAACTACAACTGCCAAGGCAAAACGGAAGGCGAGGAAATCGGTTATCCAGAACCAAAAGTCTCACAGTTCACGATCGAAACACTAAAGCCAACAGCAATCCTCGGAGACAACAAAGCATGGACACACCTGAGGCATCAGGTGCTAGACACAAAGTGGAGACAACTCGCCCAAGAAGGTTCAACAAGATTGCTCTAGAAAGAGAGTTAAAGAAAAGAAACAAAATTATTGCGGCCAATTACCCAGACAGTGGACTAGGAGTTTCCACAGACACATCTTCTTCCATTCGTTATGAGAGCAATTCTGCATTCACCAAGACCGGTAAGTCGCTTTGTTGTTGTTGTTTGCGAACAGTTACTCGGAACTTTAAAGATGAGACAACGTGTACGAGGTTGCGTGAATTTGCACTTAAATCTGGATCTGGTAAGAAAGGATGTAAGAGAGAAAGAGCGAAGCGTGTGCACAATTAGTCATAATACGAAATTAATCGTGACTATAAAGCTCATCAACATGAATGAAAAAGACGCACACGAAGTTTCAACCATACTGTTCAATCAGCTATTAGAGAGGTAGTACGTTTAGAGGATTCTGGGCGCAGCACATCCATATCTTTGCTAGAGTGCAAGAATTAGGAGTAAAGACACGAGAAGCACAGCGGATGCACGTCAAGTCTTGTCAACCAACATAGGACTGGGACTATCAACCGCGGGTTGCTATGTTGAAGGGGGAATCAGAGCACCTATGGACGTGTCAGGGGTGCCGTGAAGATAACCCAAATCACAACTCATAGATAATAATCAGCCGAGTCATCAGCTAACTTGTCACCCATACTGACGTGTGTGCAACAAGTGTGCTACAGGAACAATCACTATCTACAAATTCCGAGACTTCCCTGTGGGACGGGTGCGCCTGGTACTTTGTGATGTCGATTATTGAAACAGTACTCTGTACCCGTAACTCCTACTTTATTCAACATCTATTAAATTTCTGTCTCACTTCATTAAACTGAAGTCCTTTTGTTATCTAAATATACGGAAATGATGATTTCCTTTAATTTTGACATAAATATTGACAGTTTCCTCGAATTATTTTCCCTTTTTGCATCTTTCCAGAATTTCTAAATTACTGATAATTGCAAATTCGTGTTGTTGTACTCGGTTCAGCATCTAACATCACAATATCATCACGTTTACTTAGTTATTGCATAATCGCCGTCACACACACGCGCTTCCTTGATTCCATCCTATTTACCCTACTTTTCCTGTGTTTGCTGTTCCATACCTGCACATGCCATCTACAACTCTTTGATTTGTTCTTTCTCCTGCACGTCCCAAAGTGAATACTGCTGGTTCCTAGGACGAAGATTGGACGACTTAATGGATAAAGCCGGTTTTTTTCTCGACTCTGACATATTGATTTCTTGCCGAGATGTTCGCCTGGTTTTAAAAAGATTCTGTTATTTTGAGCGGAAATGCTGGAAATTCTGGCCTCTCCTAGTTTTATAGTGATTATTATAGTATGATTCACGTTGCCATTTGCCACCTTTAAAACTTTTTTCTTCTGAACAATATCGCGAGACCTTTACTAAATAACAGATTGACTGTTTTTTTATGATGGACTTAATTCATTCGATCGCATCTCCCAACCTGAGCTAAAATGGAAATAATAATAGGTCTGTCTGGGAATACCAAAATGGCACTAGCTATACAATGGTAGTTTTAATGGAAGGCTCAAAATATCTGCTTATTTTTCATAGTGTAATATAATAAAGGGATGCTTGTTGTCTTGAATATATGACAGATAGACACACAGATGGCTGATATGACAGAGAGACATACATATAGTTAAACAAAGAGACAGACTGGTCGATGGCAGATGAATAGATGGATAAATAGGTGAGCGCAGACAGTGGATTGACAATGGATGAACAGGCGCACGGTTGGGCGGGTAGGAATTTAGGCGGAAAGGGCTGACGGACGAACAGACGAACAGATAGATATTAAGACAGAGAGCCAAACATACAGAAAGACAGACATATACTCTTGATATTTGCAACTGGAAATGGATATGTCTGTTGATAAACAGACTTCTTCAGCATTCTGAGCCTTTGAGGTTCACTGCTGCAGATATCACCCCCCCCCCCCCCTTTTTTTTTACCCCCCCCCCCCCCATCATTCATCTCTCTGATGGATCGTTTATTTCCAGTTGGTGACACCAAGTGTTTGTAGGTATGTCTGGATATTATCTCTCCATCGTCGTCTTGGTCTGCCTCGTGGTCTACGACCATTCACATCCCTTGTGTACACAACTTTTAACTCTCTGACAGCTGACAATCTCTCAATGTGCTCCAGCCATTTAAATGTGTTAGCTGTCATGATGCCAGTGATCAATGTTGATTCTAAATAGATGATTAACTTCGTTCCAAAGATTCGTCGTAAGACTGTTTTCGAAAATTTGTAATAAGGCTTCAGCTTGTTTGGGTTAGGGTTAATGTGGTCCAAGTTTCAGAGCTATGTGAAACAACTGGACTTATCCACGTTTCATATTTTGTGATCTTGGTGTTGCGGGATAGAGCCTTTGACACTGGACTGATAAAAAGACAGGCAAAATAAATAAATAAATAAATAAATCAACAGCCGGGCAAATAGTTCAGTAAGAAGGTATACATAACGAACCAACAAAATTTATTTTCAAAGGGTAACAAACTGAGCACGCTTGCCCAACTTACATTTGGCTCTTTTAAACACCAATCTTTTACACAGCTGTTGCATTTTATTAATGTTATGTCCATGCAATAAAATGTATATTATGAATATCAAGAAAAGCCACAAAAGCATGGATTGTAAAATGCATGCGCACACGAGAGCGCAAGCATATACACCCACACGCCAACCCACTCACGCACTTACTCACTCACACATACACATATAAACGCACACATATACATACATACACACATAACACATATACATACATACATACATACATACATACATACCATACATACATACATACATACATACAACATACATACATACATACATACATACAGACAACATACATACATACATACATACATACATACATACATACATACATACATACATACATACATACATACATACATACATACATACATACATACATACATACATACATACATACATACATACATACATACATACATACATACATACATACATACATACATACATACATACATACATACATACATACATACATACATACATACTACATACATACACAATACATACATACATACATACATACATACATACATACATACATACATACATACATACATACATACAGACAGTACATACATACATACATACATACAGATACATACATACATACATACATACATACAGACATACATACATACATACATACATACATACATACAGACATACATACATACATAATACATACATACATACATACATACATACATACATACCATAGCATACATACATACATACATACATACATACATACATACATACATACATACATACATACATACATACATACATACATACATACATACATACATACATACATACATACATACATACATACATACATACATACATACATACATACATACATACATACATACATACATACATACATACATACATACATACATACATACATACATACATACATACATACATACATACATACATACATACATACATACATACATACATACATACATACATACATACATACATACATACATACATACATACATACATACATACATACATACATACATACATACATACATACATACATACATACATACATACATACATACATACATACATACATACATACATACATACATACATACATACATACATACATACATACATACATACATACATACATACATACATACATACATACATACATACATACATACATACCTACATACATACATACATACATACATACATACATACATACACATACATACATACATACATACATACATACATACATACATACATACATACATACATACATACAACATACATACATACATACATACATACATACATACATACATACATACATACATACATACATACATACATACATACATACATACATACATACATACATACATACATACATACATACATACATACATACATACATACATACATACATACATACATACATACATACATACATACATACATACATACATACATACATACATACATACATACATACATACATACATACATACATACATACATACATACATACATACATAAACACATATACAAAACATATATACATACACACACACACACTCTCATCAAGTAAGCGGACCTGTAAGTAGACAGACAAGGCCAAATATTAGCAAACAAACATTCAGACACTCTGAGAGACTGAGACCCAGAAACCTAACATAACTACGAGTAACAACAGGATAGAATAAAAATCATTAAAAAAGTGAATTTATACACGAAAAAAAATGCAGTTATACCTCCCCCGCCTCCCCCCCCCCCCCCAAACCCCCTAAAAAAATACTCAAAATCTGTGAGATATTTCGATTTCTGAATAAACCCACTTTCTTTGTTTCATAAAATATCTGACCTGGAGATATAACCTCTCTTGAGACCGAGTTAAAAAAAATCAAGACTAGCAGGTGACATTTTCTAGCCTCTGTCTGAGCTCTGTGCTTTGCTGTCTGGCCGGATCGTTGGAATGCAAATTTATACAATATAAATAGGCCATCTTTAAACCTGTTTGTCTGGGGTTTTTGTTCTTTCTATAGCAATAGGTCGTATTCGTCTCGTGGAGATGACAGGTTCGATTCCGGGCTTATCATCTATAGCTTTTGATATTTATGTTGACTAATGTGTCCTTCTCATCAGTTTACATCTTTCTGTGAGTGCCAATCATTACATTGTCTGTTTGTTTATTATATGTAATATTTCTAGAGCCTCAATAATTCCGCCTTTATTTATGTGTGTGTAATACGTCCAACTCACTGGAATGACCTCTCCAAATCTCTTTCTTGAATGGTCATTGTATTATAGACACAGCATTACCGTCCGATGTGTTTATAACTGTTGCTGGGTTTATTATTCGACTTTTGCTCTGCTAAAATACATTTATGTAACCCATGGGACCATTTCGGCGTGATGCTGACCACATCACCCATCTTGTGCGGATTGGTCTATAAAAATATAGGTCTAGCCCTATATGCCCTATACGCCTAAAGGCGTGGAAAAGGCACCTTTACCCTTATGGGGCCATTTCAGTGCTTTTAGACGTTTATTATCCGTATTCCATAGTTGTAAAT